AAAACCCCCCCCATGTTGTTTTTTTTTTTTTTTTTTTTTTTGACGCCATCATGATGTGAACTAGAATAAGGAGTATATATAATTCTTGTGAAAAAAATTAGCCAGCAGCTACATGCTACATCAGTTTCCAAGTATTTCCCTCGACAACGATGCCAACTTCCCTCCCTTCATCGATACTCCGTCTGCCAGCCTCCAGAATGGCCGTGGTTGCAATCGTGTTGCGGAGGGTCGGTAAGCCCTTTGAATCCAAATCCTCGGGCTTCAGCCGCCCCCCATTGACGGCCGTGCACCCATCCACAAACTTCTCGAGCGAAATGTACCCATAGCCGGTCTGGCCGTTGAAGTTGCCGTCCTCGTCGGGCGCGTAGCGCATGTAGAAAGGGTTGAACCACTGGATCTGGCCGGCGGCGTCGTCGGCAACGTCGTAGCCGCGGTGAGCCTGGTCTACGCGGATCTCGCCATTGGATGCCAGGTAGTGAAAGTACTGGTTTGTGTGGACGCCGGCACGCTCGGGCGCCGTCCACGAAGACGTGTACACGGCGACGGCGCGCTTGGAAGGGTCGCCCGTCTTGGCCCAGGTGACGAGCAGGGAGATGGTGTCTTCTGTCTCGGCGACGCAGCCCAAGCCCGTGGCCACGCCCTTGGACGACGAGGCCGACACCTTGACGGGGAGATAGCCCAGCTGCTGGACCATGGAGTCGCAGATGTCGATGTGGTGGCTGTTGAGGTAGTACGAGATGTCCGACTCCCGGCCCGCCCACGACTTGAACGTCTCGAGCTGGTACTTGGGCTGCGACATGTAGCTGTAGAAGTAGTTGAAGTCGCCGAGCTTCTTGGCCTTGAACCGGGCGTCCGAGTAGGCCGGGTCGAAGCGCTTGTGGTGCTCGACAAAGACGTAGACGCCCTTTTCGCGGGCGCGCTGCAGCAGGTCCTGGTGTTGGGAGAGCTCCTTGACGGCGGGCTTGGTGAGAAGCACATGGATGCCGCGCTCAATGGCGTACAGCGCAATGGGATAGTGCGTCGGGTCGGGGGTGAACACGGTGATGGCGTCGCCGGGGGAGAGACGGTCAATGGCCGTCTTGTAGGCGTCTGGGTCCTTTTGGTCGTTGGCCGGGTAGCTGTCAAAGGAGGTGTCGAGCCCGTTGTAGACTTGGGTGATGTTTTGGTCCAAGTGTTGGCCTGCAAGTTGCCAGATGAGCCTTCAGAACATGGGACATGAAGTATTGCATAAAAACGAGACGTACGAATGGCGGGAAATTTGGAGCCGTTGACGCCAACCATGCCCAGCTTGCCGACTTTGCCGCGACGACGCAAATCAAACAGTGTCAGGCCCACGACGCCGACTTTCTTGTCTGACCCTGATGCTCCTGTGCCTACGAAGCCCGTGGTGTATTCGCCGGTACCAATCTAGCTTCGTAAGCTGGGGAGGGATTTCAATGAGGGTTGGGAAAAAGTGCCTTCATACCATTAAAACATTTAGAGGTGCCATTTTGAAGATTGTCAGCTGGTGGGAGGGAGAGGGACAGGGTATCTTGAAAGCGGCAGAATAAAATAAAAAGGCAAACAAACGTGCAGCTAGCAGTGAGGGAAAATGGCGAAATGCGAAGTAGATGGATGAGCTGACCGCGCTGTGTTGCAGACTGCGACCAAGTACGACGAGGTAGGATGTGCGAGGTGTTGAGGGAGCTACCCCAGCTTTAGCTACCCGATGGCTAATGAGTGAAGGCGGGGCATTAACGGCATTGACCAGCGGCAACAGCTCTGACATGCCGCTCAACACGGCAATTGACCGTGTCCTCTGATTGGTGGAACATTAATCCGTCGTGAATTTACCCTCCATAGCCGTCGTCTCGTCTGCGACATCGGCTCCCGGTGCCTCAGCGCGCGAGGTGCGTCTGTGCCAGAGGACAATTGGATTATTCTTATATTCGTGTAAAAGTCGCCCGATACTGAATGCATTTACCCGCACTCCTGCAGCTGATCCCGAGTCGACATGGAGTAGTAGCTTGGTGCTTCGGCCCCGCCCCGCGCTCGTCCGAGATGCCGTTCAGATGAATACT